GGGGGGGGCGATCCCGAGACCGGCTTACGCTCCCTGGCCACCTCCGACCCCATCGAAGTGGGGAGTGGGCGAAAGATCGCCCTGGGATGATTGGACTATGTTCGACCAGAAAGGACCAGATTGGACTATGTTCGACCATAGTGTCACGGCAGGGCCAGGGAGCGTGGGTTAAACAAGTCAAGTCCAAAGCCAGTCCGAGGTTCAGCCAATAGTTCAAGCACCACAGAGATTTAAACAAGTCCAAAACGGTTCACAAAGCCAGCCTCAAACATACCATTCGTCATAGTCCATAAATCCAGTAAAGCCAGAGTATCGCAGAGCCGAAGTCGTGGTCAAACAATGCTGAGGGTCAAGGAGCCAGAGTTCAGAAGCAGAGTAACAAACGGTCAAGGTTTCAAAGAGTCCGGAGCAAGATTTCACAGAGCGTCTGGTTCTGTCAACTGAAGTTGCCAGTACAAATTGCTTCAAGCAGCAGGTTTGTTGATATAGTGTGCTGGCTCATTAACTTGTTATCTTCGTGGAGCAAGGTCAGGTCGCTGTTAAAACTCAGGGCTGAATGAGCGTCTTCCGCGCATGCGTGCAGCCTTGCATCTCTCATTCAGCTCCTGTCGTCGTTGACTCCTGAGCCGGTTCACAGGTGGCGGGGAGTCTGGTGGTGATCTGCTTGAGTCAAGCAGAGCCTGATCTGGCGCAGGTGTCTCCTGGGCGGTTCTATCCTCCTCAAGACTTACAGTGTCTTCTGTTAAAGGAGCCAGTTCTTGGCTGTTAGGCTCTGCCTCTGTGGTCACATCAGGGGCTTGTGGTGCCAAGTCCCCTTGTTCCTGGCTGTCAGCTGCTACATCAGGGGCAGGCATGACACATAGTGAGCAACCTGGCCCTCCTAAACAGAACTGTAGTAAGGAGACAAACATGGCATAAGTACAAGATACGTCAGAGCACCAGTTGTTCAAGATAAACAGGGTTTGATTATTTTTTTTAAGGCACAAATCAGGCAGCAAAAAATATCCCACATTTTTTTATTTTTTACAGTAATTCACAGCTCCATTTAACTGCTTTGAAAAAATGGGGGTACAGGTTGTGGGTGGGTGATTTAAACTTTTCCTCCTGCAACGTTTTCCCTCCTCACCCCCTCCCCATCTGCTAGTAGTCCCATGGCGGGATAAAGATGCTTGAGGATAACTAGGAATGGGAAGACAAAGTTATGGTTCTGATGTTGGGGGTTGGCTTTGTGGCGGAGGTAGCATGAAGTCAGCCAGGTCAGTAGTTACTGAGTCTACACAGTGAGCTAAATTATTGTTTTAAATAGACCCACAGAGCAATCAAAAATAGAGTCACACCCTTCTCAACCCATTGACTTTAATGCTGTTCTCATCTTAAATTTGGACATGGGTTGGTTATTAACTGTCAGCAAGGATGCCAGAAATCATTAACCCAGCCTGGCCCCTTCCCAGTTTGCAAAAGCCTACATGGAAGGGGGGGAAGTCTCCTTGCAAATTAATGCTGGCCCTCTTCTCTGGCCACCTAATGCTACAAATTTCGCTTGACGATTAAAAATTAGGACAGTGCTTCTGAAGTTAATTCTCTAATCATAAACATGTTTACTTGACAGTAAGTTCATGGAAATCACATTTTAAGCCCAGTCTGGACATTCTAACAGTATGAAGTCTTGCTGTATACAATGGTCTTTACCATACAATCCAGCAAAAAACAAGTAATTATTAACATCATTATTAATATCAGTTTCAAAGGGAAAAAATGTAGAATGTGCTTAAGGGCACAACCCCAAAGCCATCCTGGAACTGCGTAGGATAGTAGCAGGCATTATACAAAGATACTCAGCTCTGGCTCCAGTGTAATACTAATGCTTGAAGAAATGGGCAGTGCTGGGGAAGGGGCAAACATAGAAACAGGGGCAAGCCTATCTCTCCCCCCCCCATATCTACTGAGGTGCAGAACAGCTTAGGATGCCAACAGTAAGCATAATATAAACCCATGATGGGAACTCCTGAGAAAGGTCACCTTGTACGGAGAAGGAGAAGGAGGAGGAGGAGATTGAATTTATACCCCGCCCTTCACTACCCAAGGGAATCTCAGAGTGGCTTACAAACTCCTTTCCCTTCCCCTCCCCACAACAGACACCCTGTGAGGTAGGTGGGGCTGAGAGAACTCTGACAGAAACTGCTCTTTTTCAAGAACAGCTCTTATCAGAACTGTGGCTTGCCCAAGGTCATCCAGCAGGTGCAAGTGGAGGCGTGGGGAATCAAACCCGGTTCTCCCAGATTAGAGTCTGTGCACTTAACCACTACACCAAACTGGGGAGCACTTTGCACAAACAGCCAAAAATGAGAATTGTGGCAGAATTTTGAATTAAGGGAGACTTGACCATTTATGTGTGAGGTATATTGAACAGATGTAGCAAAAGCAGACTTTGATTTCTTCCCATGAAGCACTGCAGTATGTCCAATGCCTGCTTCCTAGGTGAAAAGAGGTGAGAATTTTATAAATACTGTAAACTACTCAGGGATTTTTAGGACACGAGAGCTGAACAGAAATCTTTTAAAGTACATAAATAATGGTACCTTGCTCTATACACCTTGCCTTTTTCTGATTTCCCTGTGTTAATATCTGAAATGGCTAAAATGGAACTCATTCCTAACAGACAAAAAAAGAAGGTAGTTTTACAGCAACTATGTAATATCTTTTATTAAGACCAATCAAAATAAAACAACACACAATAAGACCAACCAAGTTAACTAGAAGAGTGGGTTTTAAACTGCCCTACTTGTAGGAGATAAAATAACTTTAAAAACCTTGCCAAAGAACCCAAAGGCAGTATTAGTAAGCAAAACCTTGCTTACTAATACTGCCTTTCAAATTAATCAGTATCCCTTACGTCTAACGCAATTTCTGGGTATAGGTGAGAACTGAATGATTTAGCATGTGTAGTGAGATAAGAAGCCGACATCTCTGTTAAGCCCTGGGGGTTCCATTGTCCTGACTGTTGTAATAACTTGTAATTCAAATTCAGCAGTCTCCCATTCCAGTCTGTTTCTGAAATTCCTTTGCAATAAAACAGCTACTTTGAGGTCGTTCAGTGAGTGCCTTGAGTGGTTGAAATGTTCTCCTACAGGTCTCTCAGTTTTGTGATTCTTGATGTCAGATTTGTGTCCATTTATCCTTTGGTTTAGGGTTTGACCTGTTTGTACTGTGTAGAGAACTGAAAGGCATTGTTGGCATTTAGTGGAATACACCATGCTAGAAGATGAGCAAGTGAATAAGCTGGGATTGTGTAGTTACTTATGCATCTTGACTCTAATTAGCTCTTCCTGGTAACTAAACACCACCTACCACAAATATGTAATATTTGATGAAATCTGTTTCAGTGTATCTGAAGGAGTGTCCATCTATACATGCTAAGTCTCTCAGTTTGCACTTATACCCAGAATTGAACTTTGTTTGTCTTGAAGGTGCCACTGGACTCAAACTTTGTTCTCACATCTGTTTGTTAACACTTGTATTTATATGCTAATTTACTGCCATTCACAGATTTTACCAACCGCCTTAATCCAATCCCAGCTATAATTGCCTGGTTACTTATGCATCTTGACTCTATCCCTTCCTGGCAACTAAACCCCCCCCCCTTCCTATATGTAATGGATGAGGAAATTCTGTTTCACTGTATTTGAAGAAGTGTGCTTGCACATGAAAGCTCATTCCTTGAATAAAACTTTGGTGGTCTTAAAGGTGCCTTTGTTCTGCTGCTTCAGACCAACATGGCTACCCACCCGAATCTACAAAATTCTCAGTTAGACTTCAGCATCACAATAAAATCAGAGCAGAGGTTGGTGAGCCACCAACAGATTTTAAGCAAAACAAATGCCCTATTATTAACATCTCTGTTGTCATTGGCTCCTGCTGTACCACCCTCTGCTTCCTCCTGTTTTAGTGTTCTTGTGTGTAAACTCTGACCAGTCCCTCACAACACTCCTGGCTGGATACAGGATTAGTGTGCACTATCCTGTCATTGCTCCCCTGGGAAGATTTCTAAGGACCTGGGCCTCACATCCTTGTAATTCAGAGTCCAATAACTTGTATTGTGAAGAAAACAACAATTCCTTCACAGGGCAAGGACATTCAATTTTTTTAAAAAACCAGCGGAAAAGGAATCTAGAAAACTACCCTTCACCTTGTGCTGTGAGTATCCTTTTGCAGCAGAGATGCTGTTCTGACTGATACCTTTGGGGCGTGTGAATAATGGACCGCAAGCCAGACCCAACATTGGTGGGGAAAACATATAATTGGACACTATTCCATAAGATCACAATTAAGAAACAGATGAATAAGCAAGTGTCACTCAGGTTTCATTTATAATGAAGAAAGAGTAGTTTTTGCCTTTTAAAGACTGTGTTGTATTTTAAATGTCCTGGAGAAAGTTTGGGAGTTGCAAACCTGCTGTATTATTTGGCTAATAACGGATCCAATATGCTCAGCTTGCATAGCACAAAATCAACCAAATAAAACGATCCCAATATTTTGCTTTAAAATTCTTCTATTGAAATGAATAAGATGAGCATCTTGTGCTTTTAAAAATCTAAATCTGTTATTTCAGTGCAGACAATCTATTTCCTGAGGTGGATCAAAAGGGAAATTGTTCTTGCCTAATGAGTTTTGAAAACAATAGTAGATGCCTGAACGACTGTGTATTACCTTGAATGACTTCAATAATTTGAAATTACACTGAACTATTAATATGCGGCACAGGTTCCTTATCCCTCAACATTCCAAATCACAGGAGCTTTAGTGTGAGACCTTCGCTTACCTGATCTCTGCAGGAACAGTTTAGAGTTCCATGGTTGGAATGGGACAGCTGGCCTAGTACCCTTCTGGAAGACCCCAGCCGACACCGTACGGTGCATACTGAGCTGGTTCCTAACTCAGACCCCACCTATAAATCCATGTTCTTCTTCAAAGGAGATCCAAAGAATTGCAATTTGTTCTTCATGTCTGTGGAGAAGAAGAAAGGAACTACAGTACACTGGGAAGTGACTCGAAATGAAATAGCTGAGGTGGAAGGGATTCCTCTTACGACAAGAATGTATGGTATATGGGATAAAATCTGGGCTTTCCAAGCCAAACCTGATGATCTTCTCATAGCAACCTATGCAAAGGCAGGTAAGTGTATGGGGCGGAAAAGAAATTAAGTAAGTATGCACTCCCTTCCTGGACTGAAGCCCATACTTTGGTACCTTCAGCTTATCTAGCCTGGAATGAGTGAAGCGTTTAGCGGCTATCACTACAAGTCCCTGCTTCCCACCGGCATCATGGTGCATTTGTACACCTCCTAGGGCTTCCCTGGCTTTCTCCTGCCAGTTTGGTGTAGCGATTAAGAGCATCGGACTCTAATCTGGAGAACCAAGTTTGATCCCCCACTCCTCCACATGCAGCCAACTGGGTGACCCTGGGCCAGTCACAGTTCTCTCAGAGCTGTTCTCTCAGAGCTCTCTCAGCCCCACCTACCTCACAGGGTGTCTGTTGTGGGGAGAGGGAGGGAGTGTAAGCCGCTCTGAGACTCCAAGCAAAGGGCAGGGTATAAATCCAATCTCTTCTCTCTTCTCCTTCTCCTGCTCTTGCCCAAACCTTTGCTCCGAAGTTTTGGGGAAAGTTGCAGTAAAGCCTGGATGGCAGCTGTGGGAGCAGCTGTTTTCCCACAGTAGCGATTTTGTTCCCTGCAACAGGAAAAGGGGGGGGGTTATTTCTTAAAATTGGCAACTGAATATCATACACACACACACAAACTTATGTGTGTATGTATCACTGGTTGTCTGAATTACCTGCTTTCGTTTTTGTTTTTTTAAAGTAAGTTTCTTGCACCTTTTGTTCCAAAGATAAGTATCTCTCCAACAAAAGGGACTGTATATTATAGATATAACGATATTCAATTGCTGATTAAAAAAAAAAACACCCTGGAAAAGCCCTGGTGGTGTGGAGGGGGGAATGGCTGCTGCGGGGGGGGGGGGACAGGACAGGGAAACAATGGGGAAAGTTGCCTTGTTAAAGCCCTGTTGATGCTACACTATATTAGTGTTAAGTCTGGTGCTTAACAAATAGTCAGAGAGTGATTTCAGCAAAACTCAGGTTTATTTCAGCTCGACGATCACTTCTCTAACACGGTACAACTTCTGATAGCCCGAACAGCTTTTCCATTGCAGCTGCTCGGTATTTAAACATTCCGGGCTAATGTAGCCACACCTACTATACAGTTATCAACCTATCAGGTTGAGCGCATAAGGGACCGATCAGAGTCTTTCCCGCTTATATACATTTGAACCTGATTGGTCGCATTAGTCTTGGACTTCAATCCCTATTCAAGACGAAGCTTAACATTGCTTCCTTATGAGATGTTTCACATTACAACTTAACGTATTCATGGCAGCTTCTGAATACATTACA